CGTTTGAGCGACTTACTCCCAGTTGAGCGAGTGAGGATCGACGCCGTACTGAAGCAGCGTCTGGTGAACTTCGACGGATGCGTTCCGTTTGCAAGCCTCTGGGGGAGGAAAAGTCAAGGAGGTGGTCGAACACCAACTTACGCAAGAGAAGCGAATTGCCTTCGTCGTCGGCAGACGTGATCAGCGAAGAATTGGTCGACAGCAGATGCTTCAAGTACTCGATGTCGTTGTTGTCCTGACGATGGCATCAGTGTAGCAGATCGACATCGCATCGCACCATGCACTCGTGGAGGAGGACTACGGGACTGGCTGCTGGAGGACGGCCCGAGCAAAAGATAGCATCGCCTAAACTTTGCAGCCACATGTTGCGAACATCGCGAGTTGGAGCCTTCAGCACAAGCGTGGAGGTCAACGTGGTGATGCGCAGGTTGGTCGACGACAACGGAGCCACTTGTGCGACGTCGGAGAACGCGATGCGGTTGACTGTGTGCTGCTCTGAGCGAGGGGCGAGACGCCACTGTGCGCATACACACATGGGTTTGGATGATCTAGCAAAGCGGGGTGGCACCAACCTGCAAGCAAAACGACGTGACTTCAAACCAGAACCGCTGCGGCTGTTGTGTTTCATCGTCGTCGTCGTCACCCGCAACAGGTTGCGGCGGCGAGGGCAGGATCCAGAGGTAGCCATTTCCTGACCCATGAGCCTGGTCTTCTTCCGCGGCAGCCTCCGCTTCCATCATGACGGCGTCCTGCCAACGTGCACAATTTGCCGTCGGCAAATGGTCGCCGTTGTCGGCGTTTCAAGTCATCGATTGAACGCCTCTTTATTCTTGCGGAAAGTGAGATAAAATTGCGTCTTCAATTGGTCATAAATGGGCACTATACTGATAGATGTTTTCGGTTACATCGAAACGGCTTCCACTGCAAGGCGCGGCGGGCACGTCGTCTGGACCTCGAAGAGAAGGTCGCGGGTGTCCAGGATATGTGCCCCCATCCGCGACGCTCTCTTGATGACATCCATGTGCTCCTCGGGGGTCTCAAACGCTACGGCGTCTTCCACGACAACCACAGTGTAGCCTCGGTCCAGTGCGTCACGAACCGTCGTCTCCACAGTGCCCAACGTGGACACACCCACGATGACAAGGCAGGAAATGCCAAGGTTTCGCAGCACGTAGTCAGCGTTGGTCGTACCAAGCAAACTACACACGATGCTAGTCTGTGCAAGTGAGACTCAAGTTGTCCCCGTACCTGATCGCCGTCCGAGGGATCACAATGTCGTAGTCGGTAGGCGCCACGCTCTCGAGCACCTTGGCGTCGAAGCTGTGCTTGGCTACATGGATACCGGCGACTTTGTGTGCTCTGCTTCGGTCGCGGCCGTTCTTGGTCATGCTTTCGATGGTGGCGTACACGATCTCCATCGATCTCTGACGCATGAGTTGAAGAATCGTCTGGATGCTGGGGACCATGGTCGTCTTGATCCGGTCAAAGTAGTACTCCTTGCCAGTTGTGCAATCCATGCTCGAGTGCTTCCCGACGTGCGGCATGGCACAGTAATATTGGACGTCCAACACAAGTAATCCGGTCGAGTTCGCCTCGAGGATGCCAAGCAGCTTCGGCGCCATAGGGGACTTGATGGGCTCGGCGGTCACTGCGCCAGCCGATGACTTCGTAGACAGAAGCGGTGGCTCAGGAGGGATGTACACAGTGTTGACGACGCTCACACTCTCGTCTGCTGCCTCGGCGAACGATGTTGCCAATCCGCCGACTTGACGATGTGCGAGCTCAGTGGAAGGAAGGACATGGTCCACCAATGCTTTAGCTGCTTGATTGTCCTTGACGAGGCGACTACGCAGCAACATCGTGGCCTCCCGCTGTTTTTTCTCGCGCTCCAGTTGCATCCGCAGAGCGTCGGCTTCGCGTGCATGTTGCTGCCGCAAGCGCTCCTGTGCATCGAGAACGGTGGATGCTTCGGCGGCATCCAACAGCACAATCGCTATGTTCAGTTTGAGACTGGTAGTCGCCCCGACCAAGTCCAACAAGTGCTGAGCTGTAGCGAATGGGGCCATCAATGCTGGGATCTTGGCGCTGACACCGGATCGCGTGAGTCCAGCGTCCATCACAAAGGCCAGCTGAGGGTTCTCCTCGTCTGTGTTGGCAACAATGACCGCGATACCTCCCGCCTTTTGGACCTGTATCGTTTTGCTGAGGAAGTCGCATCCCCCGCGTTGCACGAGCACGATCTTGCCGCTCGCACTTTTGGCATTCGTGAGTGGGCTTTCCGCTGTGATTGGGTCCGCCACGACCAGACTACCTTCCAAGCGAGGGCTGTCGTACCTAGAGCTGAACTCGGCGAGCGGGCAGTAGTACAAAATCCCGTCGACCTCGACAAAGCTGATCAGCATCGCGACTCGTCTGTTGCTGCTGCAGGATCGTCCAGCATGCGCCTGAAAAGATCGCGCCAGACAAATATCCAAAAAGGCTCCCTAACCTTAGCGGGTGTTTCAGTCAAACACCGGATATGAAAAGGATAAAAGGACATGTCGAGGACATTTCATTCCTGTGACATTCTTCCTCGCGTTCGCAGCTCACGCTTGGACCGCAATGTTGCTGACTGTGTCCCGCCGCGCGAGCTGGTGGAGCATGCGAAGCAGTACGACAAGGGTAATTGAAAGCACACCCAGCAATGCGCAGGCGACAACGACACCCGTCAAGTACGACGTTTGTGTGTTGTCAGGACGTTCGGTGGGGGCAGCAGTCGTCGGTTTTGGACGAGGTGCGTCTTCCCCAACGATACCATCGTACGCATCTGTGACGTTAAATGCATCCTTGGCAGCGGTAGAGGTCCACTCAAACACCAGTGGCTGAACGCGGGCGACGCACGACGTGTCGATCGCGTCTAAGTCGCCTTGATTCTGGACGTACGACAGGATCAGGGACACAGCGCACGTTGGGTGGTTCTAGCCCATGAATACACATGAGCAACGTTGTCCATGATTCGCCTCTGCCATTCATTGGTACCGGAGTGATCACGGGGGTCGTCGCGATCGTGCCATGGGCAGCGTACTCAAAGGCAAACATGCGCTTCGCCGTCCCAGCCATTCGTTGGAACTGGTCTTCGGCGTACTTGTGTGGCGTTTGGGGATCGAGCTTCCCACTCAGGACGAGCACCGACGTGTGCGGCGGGATCGTAGCAGTCACATTAAAGTACGTATCAGGGGTGTACGTGAAGTTGGTGGCGGACGCGGTGGTCGGGAGCATCGTTCCAAGATCGACGCAACTTTGCTCGGCCGCGACGACGCCAGCAAAAAGGCAGTACTCAAGGACCTGGGAGTAGATACCGCTGCTCATGGTCGAGTTGGCGAAGACTTGGTAGAGGTCCATGAGACCGGGCGAAGGGCGCTGCCATAGTTCAGAGAACACGATCGTCTTGTACAACATGGACGAGTCTGGCGCGTCGACATCGGGGGGATCGCCGCCCCCACCACCTTCCGAGTCGCCGTACACTCGAATGAGTGCAAACGTCATGACGTCCATGTCATTGGCAGTGCACCGACGGAGGCGGTAGATGAACACAGGGACGAGGAGTCGCATGGCCATGTCGGGGAAGAAAGACCCGAAAAGCGCTCGCAAAATGTTGGACGGCGCAATGTCGTCGTTTCCAAGCGACTTTACAAACGCTGTGCAGTTGTGCTTCCCGCTGTCAAGGTCAGCATACAGCACCTGAAGCGTTCCTCGCAACGTCGAAAACTTGGAGCGGCAAAACGCATCGTCGTGACATAGGTCGAGGAACCTGTCAGCTACGCGGCGTGCTCTCCGTGACTGTCAGGCATCTCCCATGGATCAAGCCCCTACCGACATCGCTAAAGTCGCGGTCCCAGTTGGTAAACGTCGGTGCGTCGATCCAGGTCGGGAACGCTTCCGACTGGACCCCATCCAGGATGAATCCTCGGACGACGGACGGACTAAAGTGCATGACGCGGGACACGACCGCGGTGCCGTAGCTGACGCCGTAAACGTACGCAGAAGTCTCGCCAAGCGACGAGATGACAGCGGCAACGTCGTTGGCGGCGCTCGTGATGGAAAATGCGGCCGGTTGGTAGTCTAGCGTGGCGTGGTCACAACGATGTAAAGCAAGCGGCACGGACCATAGCGCCGTTGCATCGACCGCAAGCAGTCGGGGAGCTCGGACACCGTGACAGGAGCGCCGCCATCGCTCCCGGCAGTCTCCGCTTGAGTGGCGTCGCATCCTAGCCATTCGCTGCGCCCCGTGCCTCGGTGGTCGATCGTGTATACAGACACCTTTCCGTTCATTCGGATGAACCAGTCGAGCATAAATCCTTCCACTAGCCATCGCATGAGCGTCGCGGAGGATGCCCATGGCGAACGTACTGGCCACACTCGATGCCCCAGGTCCCCCTTGTACAAGCCAAACGGACGTCGCGCTTCCCGCCGCCGGAATGCGCTTGACAAACACGTCGATGGTTTTTGAACTGGTGCAGACACCGGGATGGCACAACGGGACGGCAAACGTAGCGCACTGAGCAGAAGGAGTCGACGTCGACGCGGCTGACGCAGTCGCGCTGCGTTGTGTGCTTCCGATCGCGGCATGTTTGGTGACGTGGTACGACGATGCCCATGGGGAACCGCGCATGCTGTGGAAACCACGAGGGTGGGCTGCCGCGTTTGCATCGGCAAGGCGGCGCCGTTGGCTAAACGTGTAGTACGCACAGTTGTACCATCCATCGAGGGGAAGTGGGGCGCTGGCGGCAATCACGATGAGTGCAGCTACCCACCGCATGCGGCCCCGTCGGGAGCCTCGCAACTTGCTAGAGTAAAAATAGGACCGGGACGCACGTTGTATGATGAACGACCGTATTTAGGTTACAACACCACGAGAAAGAGATAGGTGAAGACCAAGAGGACGACGAAGATCTTGACGATAAGCGACCGATTCGAACTCACGGTTGAAAAGTACTTCATCAGCTCGTCCTACACACGAGTGCCATCATCAGGATGCCGTCGAATGGCGGTGGATCGAGAGAGATGGCTAGCTTACGTATCCGCTCTGGACGTTGACGTGCCTACAAGAAAACACCCGACATCAAGTCCTTGCACAACTGGGACGGAGCTGACTACGTACGCTGTTGTCATGTCGTCTTCAATGCGGCCCAGAGTTTCCTCCTACGACACACCAAACGACTAAAATGATGGCAGTCCATGGAAGAAGGGACGGCCTCACCTGGCTCGCTAGCAATCCTGTCATCCGGCTGTACATGCCCCCAATCTATTGGCGATGCATGTGTCTTGTGGACGTGTGTGACCGAATTGCACCAACCTCGATGATCGTGGCTTCCATGTTTTGTGCATCGTTCAACCGACTTTGCGCGGTCCGGTGCCGCATGAGCGTCTGCTGGTGTTGCTGTTGCGCAAAGGATGCAGTGGCTGCCGTGGAGTTCATGAACGGGCGTCGACGGAGTATTCCATCTAGCCACGCGTCAAGAACACAGGCACACGAGTAGAACCAACCTCCTGGGGCGTCGGATTGGAGCGGAGCCGTGGCCCCCGATGGGTGTGGAGATTGTTCGGGGTGGTGAAGTGGCTGGTTGTGATTTGGCAGGACTGGCGTTGGTGCAGGAGGCACGGCAGGGACCGCCGCCGTTTGGAGTTTGTTGCGTATGGTCAGTGGCGTCGAAATTTGAACACTTGGAGCCTGCCCAGTAAAGCCGAACTTGGTGCGACGCTCGCTTTGCTTCTTGATGACGGTGGCGCGATTCTGCATGCCTTCCTGGAATGCAACACTCATGTCGTGACATCGCTGATCCGGAAGAGGAGGGCTTAGGATAGGGATGGCGTGTACCTGGAGAGCCTTGCCGCAGTTGGACATGCGCATCTTGAGCGAGCTGCAGACAATGTAAAAGTGCTTTTGCTGCTGATTCTACTCGTCATGGGGTTAGAGCATGCGTCCCTGTTAAGGGCACGTACTTCGCCGGCCACGGCACCCTCGAAGATTTCAATGTCCTTTAGCATCGGTGGAATCGATTGCTTGACAATATCTACGATGTCTGAGATCTGTTTGGTCGGGTCGTCTTCGACCGTGATGTGTTTTTTCGTGACTAGGTTGGACAGCTCCTTCAAGAGCGATTCGGTCTGTGAGATCGCGTCAGAGATTTGCTGGGCCACACGCGCAAACTTCGACAGCGGTCGGTGCTTGGCCATGATGATCGGCGCGTCCGAGAACAGCTGCGTGATCCGCGTGAACTCGGCCGTCCGCTCCATCGTCGACGGTGCCGCACGAGGTGTACTTTGGTGGAAAGTATCCGGAAAAAGTCGTTATCCGGAACATGAATCGACCAATCGCACGCGTGCTGTCGTGGTCCAATCCGAAACCGCCACCACGACGACGCAAACGACCCGCGAGAGCACGTCGAGTCGTCGGGCATTCTTTCCTCTGGAGACTTTGCCATGGGTGGCGTCGGCGCGCTGGCGAGTTCCGCGCCGTAAGCGCAGCCATTGGCTTGAGAGATGCATCCAACCCGTCAACCTCGCACGTGAGAATGGCGACAGCATGTGACCTCGTCGACGCCGGACGTTCCTGGTACGTTTCCCACCTTTCACCAAACATTCCATTCCGAGTTACAAACCCACGGCGCAGAATTCTAGGGTGGACATACAGACTCAACGTCTGGGACATCCCAGTTGTCGAAGCAGGCAAGTTTGCATGGGTGGGGTGCTCGTCCGCGGCGTTCTGGGGTCGTTGGCCGCACACAAGAGGCTGCTCTGGGAGTCGCCCCAGGCGAGTGCAGCATTGCGCTCGTTGGGTAAATGTCACGGTCGCCGTGATGGATCGTCCCGCCGTCGAGTGGACGGCCGCAATAGGCCACGATGTTACAGCACCCATGACTTCCTGACAATGGGAAAATAAAAAACTTCAAAATATTGGATATCCGTGACAACTAGAAATCTATTAAAAAAATGTGTCCATTGTTTCAGGGCATTTCGGTCCCGTGGATCTGAGGGGGTGACGGACAATTTAAATGTACTTGGTTTTCGTATGCTGGCGTTGGCGAGTGGAATTTTATTGCATGTAAAAGTGGGGCCGGTCTCTGTCGTGACAACTGAAACGTGGGCTTGGTGGCCCTTCCACGATGGGTCATTGGCAGATCGCGGCACAGCGCCACAACTGTGAGCCCATCGATGCCGCTGCCAGCCGACTACTTTCCGCGCATGCCGTTGCCGAAGCCACTCGTGACTGCCTTTGAGGAAGCTGCGAATGCACAACTGACGGCTGATCTCGCCCGCCTTCGAACCGATTCCTCCCAGAACCCTGCCGGGACAACGTCGTCCCGCCGACCAGCGTTCCGCACAGACGAGCACGGGTATTCGGTTTTGGAGCGTCATGGCGTCAGTGTTCGCACGCGAACACAACCTGCCACGGCTGGCACCGGCCACACGGTCGCGTTTGAATGCCATGCCGACGTACGCGGACTCCCCGGCGAGTTGCAGGACGTTATGTACGCCGACAACACGTTGGCGCTGCGCGAATGGGGAAAAGTGTTCTTGTCGACTTCACTTGTCGATGCTGCTATGCTTCACTGCGTCCAGCGCCACGTCGGAGGTCCCGGGGTCCCGAGAACGTTTGCCGGGGTCACTTGGCTGGCGCTGCAGACCCCTCCATCCACCACGCGGTTGTCGTCGACGCTGAAAACTGACTTTTGCGTGTTCCAAACCATGGGCACTCGTGACGACACCCAGTACATCACGTGGACGTCCGTGGACGCGCCCAATTGCGCCAGCCAGGAGGAATCGCTCGGGCTGACTCGCTCGAATCTCGGCACGACCATGTTTTTCCAAGCCACGGCGGCAGGCACGCGGTTGACGTGGTTTGGAACGATGGAATCGCCCAGCAGCTTGTCCAAGGCGCTGGTCGAGCGCGTGATGGGCTCCGTCGCGACCAGGCTCAGCCTGCTTGACATTGCTTTACAATCGTATCGCGTGTCCAAGAAGCCTCCAGTCGATCGCTCCGACTGGGTTCCCGACTGGTAGGTGCACCCATTGACAAAAAACGAGAGCGACATGCCCCATGTCTGTAGCGACCGGCGCGTGTGCCACGTGTGTCGCAGTGCGTTTACGCTGTTTCGAAGCCGCCACCACTGCCGCGCCTGCGGCGACGTACGTTGACGTGTTCTAGACGATTCTTGTATCGAGTTCCTGATCGAATGACACAGATCATGTGCAAGAAATGCACGGTTGTGCGGCCGTCGTTCACTCAGCTCGCTGCCCAGTGGGGCTGCGGTTGCAATGATTCGAACACGGCCCATTCGACGATTGCAGGGGACAAGATTTGTCTCCACTGCGTCGAGATGCCCCGGCCAAAGTGCAAACGATCGATGCCAACACATGAAACCTCGGTGCTGCTGCCAACCCTCGGTAACTCTTTGTCGAACTGAGTTCCACTCATGGCACACCGTTCAGGCTCCGTCAATGGCCGAGACCAGGCACGACGATCTACGGGCAGGTCATCGTTTGGAGCCATCCAGTCCACGCATCCTGGCGGCCCGCCATTGCCACACTTTCGATCCAAGGCCATCGCGATCCCGGCCAAGGCGTCGTCATCCAGGATGTCCTTGGACAATCATTTCAATCGCACGTCGTCGGGCTCCCAGCACGACTCGATGCTGCCGTCGTCGGTGCAGCAGCCGTTCTTTGGCTCGACGAAATCCATGAGCCTCCCGTCGACGGCGCTGTACTACCTGGATCCGAATGAAGCCCAGCACCAGCAGTCGGTGGCAGCACAGCTGTGGCAAATCTCGTGCCGTGCTCAAGCGACGTTGACGCTGGCCAAGGAAACAACCAGCCACGTCGCTAGTCGGACGGTGACTCCCCTCAGCACCCCGCGAGGAGACGATGCGTCCATGCGCGATAGCTTTGCAAAAGTCAACCAGTCCCTGACCGAACAGGCCTACTTGCTTGAGGCCCTCGACCGCGCCAGTCGCGGCCGCTTCAGTGCGACGTCGTCTCCAGTTAGCAACAACGCGACCGACAGCCTCCGCGGCCGGTCGAGTGGGTGGGAAGACTCGGTACGGTTCGAAGTCATTCCAGACGACATGGATCGCGTCGACAAGAAGCCAGGCGCCGCCTTATTTAAACACGGCCTCACTTGATCCTACCGCTCCGTCCCAACAGTCCACGCATCGCGCTCGGTCGTGGTGGGCACACTGCGGCATGTCCGCCATCACCTCCGGCCCGAATGAGGATGCGTGCACACTGGAATGAAGAGTGCCGTGGAGCGCGATGCTAGCCCACGTGTCTATGTATTTTGGAGGACGCTCGGTCGAGGTCTGTCCCGTCTTTTCTCGTCACCATAGCACTGAACCTGGGCGATCCGTTGGTCGATGACATGACGACGTTGGCCAGGAACGTATTCCATTCGTGCGGACCGTCGTCCGGGATGTCAAAGCGGTCGTGGAGGCGGTCGTGTATGGTTTGCTGCAGAGCCAGCTTGAGGGTCGAGTTGGTCGCGATCGCCACGGCATGCGCGACGAACTCGTCCAGATTGGAAGCAATCAAGTGCGTCGACAGAGAAAGGTACCGATAAAACCCCGCGGTGAGCTGCAGCACCGACTGCCGCGACGGCAACGTGACCACGGGCCTGCGCCAAACACAAAACGACGTGAGCCATCGTGCGATGGTCAGCATCGAGACCATGTGCAAGGCCACGTACAGGCCAGCTGCGAACGCATCGAGCGTCGTCACGCCTCCGCCGAACGGAAACGGATCGATCATGACGTCGGCGATCGCGAGAAGCTGCATAAACTTGTCGTGCGGCAGCGTCGCGACAAATAAAACACGGCGAACCAGACGGTTGCCGAGCGTCCGACCGAGCCGGCGATGCACTTTGTCTTTCCAGAGCAGTTGCTTTGGCGAGTACAGCAGCACGACATGGCCGTCCGTGTCGAGTTTGAGGAGACCGAGGATGGCTTGATCAAACGCCACGTGGAGCTTCATCAGCGTCTAGATGACAAATCCCATCAGGTTGGGCTACCACGATATCATTCAATCGCTATCCACGTATGGCGGCGGCAATCGACCTGAGGGCAGAGGTAGATGCGCCCCGACGCTGGAAGATGCAACGTCGCTCGCATGGATGCTGCCACTGCGTCGTCGACTGGAGGGAGTGCTCTGGGCTTGGAAAAGTACGTCGACAGGTCCGAGAAGAGCACGAGTTGCTCCGTGTACGTGGCGCCCCCGTGCATTTCGTCCATACGACGCCCGTCGTTCGATTCAAAAAAGTCTGCAAAGAAAAACTCTGCCAGAAGCGCGTGAGACCAAATCGTGTCACGTCGAGCGGCGTTACCCGATGCAATAAAGTAATCGATCGACGGCAACCCTGTCGTGATCGGATGGCCCCAAAACATGCACTGGATCGGGGCGAGCCGCCGGTGCGCGAGGAAGTACATCCAGGCGTCCATGCCAATCTCAGGATACACCAGGACGTCAAGAGCTTCCTGCAAGATCATGTGCATCGCCATGTCCTGCGAAGCCGGCAGCACGACAAAGGCATCGGCCGCCTCTTGGATCGCGCGTGTGATGGCATCTGTGGTGGTGGACGTCGCGACGGTGTCATGTGGAAAGAAATGCGTGGCGGCCAACACAACGACGTGGAATTGGTTTCTAGACACGACCATGAGCGTGTATGCAAAGCCACATTTACCGATCGATGGTTTCGATGACGCGCTGGATGAGTTTTCCGACAGAATGCACACGAAACCATGACGAAACAAAGCCGACTTTGATCTTGGTTTGACGGGTATCGAGCGGCGGCGGCGGCGGCATCTCGAGCGGACGCGCGAGGGACGGATACAGTCGCTGGTACATGCTTGCCACCGCTACTTGAAGATGCGCCACATCCACTCCCTAGTTCATGGCCGTGACGATCGTTGTGCCACGACTGGGTTGGTCCGATATGCTGGACCTGGTACCCCACAAACATGGTGGGAGGCGTGATGGTCCACTTCAGATAGGCCGCGTGCTCGGCGCGAATGTTTCCTGCCACGTCAGCATCGACGCCCGTCCTATTCAAGCGGCCGACACGGCTCGCGAACTCTGCAAGGAACACGTGCATGTCGTCGTCGCTGTCAAACACAATCGGGATCGCAGTGGCGGCGCGAATCTACGACGGAGCCTCAACGAAGCATACGCCTTCCTGTCTTGACAGTCTATCGTACGTGCAGGCCGGACGCTGGGCCGCAGAGGTGGTGGCCAAGGGTGAAATGCACGAGGGAGGAGTTGAATGCCCCAAGCTCGTCGAGAAATACACCCACGAGTGTATACGTTTCAAATAGAAACTGGACAAATGGCGACTGAAAGGTCCATGTGACTCGTTGCTGGTCGTCCAAGGTGGCGATGCAGCACGTGGAATCGAGTGGCGCGGGCCATGTCGCTGCGAGGCATGCCTTATCCGCGGCCGCCAGTGGGGTCGCGAAAAGCTGACGTAGGCTCGATGCGGGTGTGTTGTATAGCGGAGGAAAGTGGTGCGCGGCAGCCCCTGCATGAGTCGATCACCATCATCCAAGAGCACACGATTCGTCCAGCACACCTTGAGTTGTTTGGCATGTCGAATACCATTCGAGCGACGATGCGTAGTTTCCATCGAGGAAATACGCGAGAGCAGCATCGCAACTTGCCGCGCCGCCGCCGTCGTTGGTGCCTCGAACGGCTTGAACAAAATGTTCAGCGGCAAGAAAAAAGTTGCCAGTCTCAAGGTATGCGCTGGCCAAACGGTTGTGAACGACTGGCGTCGGAGTGACCGCACAATGCAGCGCGAAGTACGACGCTTCCAGCATGGGCAGCCGCACGAAGTCGGTGAATTGGAATCCCGACGCTTGAAACAGCGCCGCCACGCGGGAATAAAATCCAGCGATTTCTTCGTTTGGCAGGACGAGGTCGTCTGAAGTCGGGGGGAATGTTGTGTGGGGTGCGCAGTGTGCAAAGGTGTCGGCTGCAGTTCGTGGCGCGTTGATCTGAAGCAGCGACGCGATGCGGTCCAAGCAAAGTGCATAGCCGGACATGGGATGCGTGATAGCAAATGGCGACAGTGGCGCCGCTGCAATGTTTTGTGCATACTCAATCAGCCGTGTGCCATCGTCGTGACGGACGGACACTGCCACGACGCTGGCATCAACCCAGTCGGGCGATTGCATTCGAAGGAACGAGTTGTCGCTGTTGACGATCACAATGTACCGCCCACCCCATTGCTTTACTTGGCGGACCTACCGGACGGGTCATGATGTCCCGTGGACGAAGGAAAGTGCATGGGTATTACTTTGTCCGCGAAGGAGCACGCACCACGATGGACGACAAACAGTGCTCTATCGTCTCCCGCCATCTCTGGCGCAGCATCGATAGTTAAGCCGGGGCAGGCATGGATAGGAGCTGCAGTAACCACACGAATGTCCTCGGCCCGTGTACTCACAAACTCCCCAAAGTCTGCAGCTCGACACGGCATCGTCAATCTGCCGACACCAAAGTCCAAGGTGCACCCATCGTTGCCTAAAACGAAGCCATGTCATGATCCGCATTCCTAACGACAGTGGTCTTACCTCCATCGTGGAGGGGTGGTTGCCGCGCCCGGCGGCACTCAACAGGGACGATTCGCAGAACCAGCACGAGCAGCACATGCCGCCATTGCATCCTCGTTGGACGGACGCGATCTATCGCTGATATCCGGATAAGGCGTTTATGAACAACGGAACTTCGAAGTTCGAACTCATCCGAAGTCCGGATAAACTCATCATAGTTCGGCGATCCCCAATGACAACGAGGTCGAGGCCACGGACGTCGACGGTACCTTCCGCTGGGCCCGATGCCGCGTTTGGCACATGCAGGGACGTGGATGAGTTCGAGAAACTCAATCGCATTGGAGAAGGAACGTATGGGACTGTGTATCGAGCTCGTGACAAGGTGTCGGGTGAGATCGTTGCCCTCAAGCGGGTCATCCTCCACAACGAAAAGCAGGACGGCGTACGTGCCACAACCGCCCGCCTCCCTCCCTCACCACGTTCTTGTTCGCTATGGTAGTTTCCTATCACAGCCATCCGCGAAATCAAATTGCTCAAACGCCTATGCCAGGAGAACTGCGTGCAGCTCAAAGATGTCGTGGTTGGGCGTAAGCGCTCGGGGTACCCCACCTCCTGCACTTGTCGCGCCTCTCATGTGTCTTCCAGCGTGTTTTTAGTGTTTGAGTACTGTGAACACGACTTGTCGGCACTCATGAGCAATGTCGACTGCCCATTCTCTGAATCTGAGGTCCGTCGTTCGACGTACGAAACGTGGGCGCATCCGCGCTGTCTGACTAGGTCAAACGAGTCCTCATGGAGCTCTTGAGCGCCGTGGAGTATCTCCATTCCATGAACATCATCCACAGGTACGCGTGTCCTCCATCGTCGGGTCGCCAAAGTGACACCGTCGCAGAGACCTGAAGCTCTCCAACATCTTGTACGATGGGTTTGGGCGAGTAAAACTGGCCGACTTTGGGCTCGCGAGGGAAACAGGGTTTCCATTACCAAGCAACATGACCCCCAAGGTCGTCACGTTGTGGTACCGCGCTCCGGAGCTGCTCCTGGGTGCCGAGTCGTACTCGCCATCGATAGACATTTGGTACATGGCCGTGGTGGCTTACGCACTAACTGTCCCGCCCAGGGCGTGCGGGTGCATCTTTGGCGAGCTCATTCTGAATCGCCCACTGATGAATGGCTCCACCGATTTGGAGCAGCTGCAGCTGATCTACAAGGTTCGTCGGTCCATGAACAGCGGCCAGCTTCACGAGCTTTATCCACCAGACGCTGGGCCGACCGACCGACCGCATTTGGCCGGGCATGTCGAATTTGCCGCACGCGGCCAAGCTCCAGTTCGACTCTTCGCCCTACCTGTACAACCATATTCCCAAGCTGTTTGAAACGCACTTGTCGGCTGCAGTACGACGGGTTTTCTCCACCAGGTGCAGCTCACTCCGGTCCATTTCTTTGCAGGGCCTGGATCTTCTGCAGCGCATGCTCGCGTACGACCCAGCCAAGCGCATCACGGTATGGTCGAGTTGCCACAACGCGGGCATGTCGTTCAACCCTGTGTAGGCGTCGAATGCGCTGCGCCACCCGTACTTCGACGAGCGGCCGTTCCCAAAAGACGTCGGGATGATGCCGACGTTTCCGTCGCAGCACAACAACATGCAGCTGCATCGCCCGGCATCCGGTCCAGTCCGAATCGACCACCAATTTGGGCAGGCGTTTGGAGGTCCAGTGGGCGACGCCTCTAAGAAACGAAAGATCTTGTGACGAGTTTGTCCGCTCGACTGGCGCGCACACAGCTGGCAGTTCGCCGGCGCGGCGTCGTGCAGTCACTCGTTGGAGAGGTTTCCACGACAAGCTCGTTCATCTCATCCGACAGGCTCCGCGTGGAGTACGCACGCTCATCACGGTAGCGTAGATACAGTTCTCGTTGAGCCCGCCTCTTCCATGGCATTACCCGCCGTCAAGGTCACACAAGTCACACCACACATGCTCCGGTCGTGCTGTGGCTGTCGGTGTTCGCCGTATCTCGACCTGTGGACTTTGGTCGGGCGGTTCAGTCAACACCTACAGAAATCGAAGCAGTGTTGAGTGGATTCATGGGTCCTTTCCCAACCCCCGACGCATTTCGTTTCGATCGTTCAGCCTTGGCCAGACAGCTTGTGCTCGATAGTTTGTACCGTGGCGCGTCCACCGGGAGCGATCGCATCCACGTCGCCGTCCACGACTTCCATCCACTCGCCGGACGCGCGTCGCGAGCGCTGACACTTCTCAGAACCCATGTTGTGGGATTCTCTCAAACTTAATATTCCCTCACCCAGGTACATCTCTGATCCGTTTCAACGCGTCTTCCGCCAGCTGTTTCGATCATATTCATTTCGAGAGGTAATCAGGTGACACATCAGTGGTCCAGCGCCCGCTCGATCCGCGAAAGAATCGCGCGACGCATTCGGACCGACGGCTGCCGCCGTCTGGACGCATCCTCGTGGGTTGGCATCTTGCCTGCATGCATGTGCTACGTACAGGGACCGACCACCGCGCCATGTCGTCGTCTCCGCCCGCGATTGTCACACGTCTTGTCCCGGATTTCACAACCCGGCTATCTCGGCGTCCCGAGATCCGAGTAGCTTGGCAGCGCTGTCGCCTGCGCGTGGGGAGCGCAGCCCGGCGCCGGTCGAGTCGATGTGCACATGTGCGGCGAAATTCTCGGGCAAGACGATGAGGAAACGTAACATCGACGTGGATGGGTTGTCCGAAGCCCGAGGACGGCGCGGAGACACCGATGCCGTCAAACACACACGCCGACCCACGGGCCGCGCCCGGACCGGCATAGCAGAGTGGGCGGAGGCAGTGGGATTGTGACAGCCAGCCTCGCGAAGTTGGATGTCTTGACGCCGAACCAGAACATCCAACGCGGTGCGCGGCAGAGGAAACTGGGCACTCGTCACAGTATCCATTAACCAGAACGTATACAAACATCAAGTTAAAGTGGCACCACGTGGTGTGCCGGAACAGGCCGGGGGCACAACCCGAGCGACCGCGGCGTCCATGGCGATCGTGGGTGTGTCGGGCATTTCTGGCGTTCCGTTGGCATGACACAGCCTGGTGTGGGCAAGTGGACCCGCGACGAGCACCTGCGTTACCTCCAGGCGATCAAGATGTACCCGCAAGGTCCGTGGCAGGTCGTCGCCAACTATGTCGGCACGCGGTCCGCACGACAGACCCAGACACACGCGCAAAAGTACCGGGAGAAGGTGTCGAGGCGGAAGCGCGGTCTCCTTCGGAAGCGAGCCATGTCGGACGAGTGGCTGGAAAACCATTCTTCAGGAGACGACAAGGCGCCGACCGCTGCCATCTTTACCGGCGGCAAGTACCACCCGGCGCTGACGTCGCTGCCAGCGCTGAGTGCGTTGTCCGATCCAATGCCGCCGCCGACACAACACGTCAAAACATATTACGAATCGTTTCCAGTGACAAGGCTGCCGGCGCTCGAACCACTGCATCCGCCAGGTGGGTACGCAATGGACAAGTCGTTTCCATCGAACGGGAGCTTTCAATCGTCGCTGACGTATTCGCCAAACCACCATCCGCACCAGCAACTACAGCACCACCAACAACTACAGCACCAACAACAGCACCAGCCCTATCACCACCATCACCAGGCCCCGCCGCAGCACCAGCCGTACCATCCCCCTTCGTACCACCAATCTTCGTTCCGGTCAGAGTTCAAGCACGAGTACATGCCCCACCACCAGAACAGCCACCACTCGCCGTCGAACGGTCCCGGCTCGTTTGCCGCAGTACCGACGTCGAATCCACCCGACTACCCTGGCCAGTCCGCATTAACAGGGAACTACCGAGGCGCGCCTCCGCCACTGGACGATCTCATGCAACTCCTTGTCGATGGCGAGTTCATGACGCCGCACCACCGAAACACGACCATTTGAGTGAGAGCGCACGGCCGCGACCAATCAAGCATACAACTTGAGCGCCGCCCATGCTCGACGGAAAGAGCGCGACACAGCGCGCGTCAACTACAAATGTCACAATAAACTACAACACAACAGTTGTCATGGCCGCCGCAGTCGGACCGACCACTAGTGGGTTCTGTCCTCACGAGTCTACCACCTACAAAACCCACCAGCAGTCACGCCCACTTCTTAATCGTGCACGGCGGTCTTTGGCCATCGGCACACGACCTGCAGGCCACCGTATGCACACACAGCCACAGCTGGGCCAGCCAGCACCCCACTAGCGCGCCCACCGGCGGCCACGACCCGATCGATCCGCGCTGCGTCCAACTCACGACAGATGTTGCGCCTTCGCCACTCTGATTGGCCAAAACGAATTGGCCAATGGCATCGCTGCAAGAGTCGCGTTCGTCATGAAGATGTCGCTTGGCGAGGTCGCCGCGGTGTCGGTGGAGTGCGACAACGTGCTGCCACCTCGCCTGGCTGCGCAGGTCTTTGAATTGCTACAGACGCAGTGGCCTATTCACGCTGCCACGCGACACCGTGGACTCGAGCCAAAGCCAAACCAGACAAGGCTGCTCTTGGTGGTCATCCAACCGACAACCACCAACCAGGAAGTCGTCGTTGGCCACGCACTGCTCAAGTGGTCGTCGCCGACAGTGTGCCTCGTTGTGTCTGTGGTTGTCCACAAGGAATGGCGCCGCTGTGGCCTCGGCCGCCGCTTGATGCTTGAAGTCGAAGCCCACGTTCGGCGCGTCGGAGGCCAAGTCCCGATCACGACGTACCTCTGGACGACAGACCAAGGTGCGGCTCATTCGACGACGTCTAGAACTTGTGTGCGCACGTGGATGAGTCACCGAATCTTGTCGCGGTAGGGTCCTTCTTTCAGTCTCTTGGGTACACCCCGTGCCCCCCGTACGTCCACGACCGAGCAACCGTTCTGGCCCACGTCCTGCGGACCAAAGCCTCTCCGCCGGACGTCCCCCACAAGGTATGGTCTGTAATGTTAAGTGAAGCTCCATCCCATGCATGGACAGGAAATGTGGCTTCACCAAGTGCTGTTGCCAATCCAACAAAGTTAACGGCGTGGGGCTGGCGCGTTCAGTCGTTGTGTGGGCATGATGTCGTCGACTACACGTTCGTTCCACACAATCTCTCGACAGTGCCCAGTGTAGTGCGGACGTGGGACGGCCCATAAACATAACGGATGTCTCGCGGGGGGTTGGATGCCACAATGGGTGTTTTGTTTACCGCGGAATTGTAGCCACGTGCATGTTTGCGGCGTCGATGTCCCGCTGACGTCACCCCCAAGCGGGCGATATTTCTCTGGCGGCCCGACGGGCGCATGCGCACTTGTCAACGATTGTAAAGTCGTGGCTCAAGAATCAGCAGCCGTGGCTTGGTCACGATGGCGACAGGTGTACCTGTCACACTTGATATACAGAGCTCCCTCAAAGTTTATGTCAAAAAATAAATTGTAAAAGGAATACTAAACTACAAAAGAAACACGATAATTGATTTTGACAGTTATCAGTTGAGCAATCGCTGAATTGAGTGGCCGCGGGAAACAAAGCCGGTATGGTTCCAGCAGTTTCGAATGGTAGTTGATGTGACACAATCCCAGGCCTGAATTGACCATCTCATGGCCGTCAACATGTCGACGGCGTACATATTCTTCACTCCACTGTCAACTGCACATGTCTTGCATCGTTTCCGCCTCACGTTCAAATTTTCAAAATGTCATTTCAAACAAGCCCCACAAACTTTATATCCATCATTTTGCACAGGTAATTGATTTTGAGTAGGGAGCAAACCTTGAGGGAGCACTGTATTGGCTGGCATACCAAATGTCAAATTTACACGTACAGTACACCAACGTATGGGGCCTAGCCCTGTAATGGTAGCTTTGACCCATGTCAAAGCTACATGGATACGTACTCATGTCAAGATACGCGCGAGATGCGCATACGTCATGATTCTAGCTAGGTGACTTGTCATATTGCATACATTGTAACATTAAATATATTGTCACAGATGGCCATGGCCTGCGAGATGGAATACGGTACGGTTGTTTATCCGGATAGACAGTATCAACTTCGAACTTCGCGACCAAAAGATCTCGAATTGTCGTGTCATTGCGCGCGATGCAACGGCGCCGCAGAGCCCACGGACGCGCCACCACCGCGGACGCTGTCCAAGATGGGATAGGCCATGACAAGAGCAAAGTTCTCTCTGTGGCGACGGATCCTATCTTATGGCTCGTCGGCACGATCATCTTGGGCGTGTACTCTCAAACGCTGTACCCGAGCATTGCCGGCGGAGACAGTGGCGAACTCGTCGCCGAGTCGTGCCACTTGGGCGTATCTCATCCCCCAGGCTACCCCTTGTTCAACATGCTGAATTTCATCGTTGTCAATATGCCGGGGCAACAAACTAAAGCGTGGAAGGCCAACCTGTTTTCTGCAGGTACCAACCTCCAACGTCTCCTTTATGACTTGATGTTTCTCAGCCTGCGACACGGTGTGCTGCATGCTCATGTACGCGACAATTGTATCATGGACGGCCCAGGCACCGTCACCGTCGTTGTGGCTGACCAAGGTTGCCGCCGCGACTGCAGCAGTACGGGCCTTCCCTCCACGTACATCCCATTTTGATCCGGTCGATCCTAGGTCACGTTTGCGTTGAGCCCACTCATCTGGACGTACGCTATCAGTGCCGAAGTCTTTTCGATGAACAATCTATTTGCTGCATGGCTGATCTTTGTGCTGCTTCGATATGCCCAGTCTGGCTCCATGAACCATGCCAACCTTGGCGCCTTCGTTTGTGGGTTGGCCCTATGCAACCAGCACACGATCGTTCTCTTCGAAATCCCCATCATTGCATGGGTGCTATGGACCCAGCGCCACGCTCTACGCGTCAAGATGCTGTCCAAGTTTACGTTCTACTTTACTTTGGGGTTGCTGCCGTAAGCGCCATCTCCATCGTTGACACGTCACGACGTCATAGCTATATCTACATGCCCATTGTATCGACATGGAACCCGCAGCCCGGGTCGTGGGGCGACGTAACATCCGTGGCGGGTTTGTTTCACCACTTGCGGCGTGGAGGTGCGTCGCAATCCCTCCTCCAGTGCCGTGACTTAAACGGGCTAGACTACGGAACTTTTCGGTTGTTTTCATCCGACCGCGACACGGAGCCGTTGTCGACTCGTTTGGTGCTGTACTTGAACGACGCAATTGGACGCCAAGTACATGTCGACCGGCCTGGTTTACCCCGTGCGATAACACTTGTGCGTAGGGAGGGTACTTGCTCGGGCCATTGGCGTTGGTCGGAGTGCTGAACCCGCCTCGACGGGTCCGCTTCGAAGGCTTTCGATGGGCGGTTGTGTGCATGTACCTCTTTTATTTGGTCGTGTTTCACGCGCTGTCGAATATGCCGCTCTCGGAGGGACTCCTCTACGGCGTTCACATGCGATTCTGGCAGCAGCCCAACATCGTGTTGTTTGTGTGGGGTGGGGTGGGTCTGAATGCAGTGCTCCATCGGGCAAACGAGGCATCGGGGGTGCTTTCCCGTCTTGGAGTTGTGCTGTCCATCGCTTGCACCGTTGGGCAAGGCGTCCAGTGGCACCACGTCGGCAACCAGAGCCAGGCCTGGTACACGCCTAGCATCATGCGCCGAGTCGGACCAGTATATGTCTGCCGTAGGTACATTCACAACTACGCCAAAGCACTCGTGGACCCGCTCCCTCGAAACGCCCTCGTCTTTGTCAACTACGACCTGCAATGGACAGCAATTCGATACCTCCAGCGGTGCGAAGGCTTTCGGTACGCTCGCTGTGGCTACATCGACAACGCCGGTCAAGCTAGTGGCTGCTGTAGCCCCGACGTCACGGTGTTGAATCTCTCGATGATGACGTACAAGTGGTTTGGGACCAAGCACGCCTTGTACCCGTCCATGTCGTTTCCAGGGGACCGGCTCGTCCCAGCCTCCAACCACGTAAGCGCTGCGACTCAAGTTGCGATTCAAATTTAAACGGACGTGCGTAGCAAGATGGCGGGTTCAGTCTGCGCGACCTCGTCCGCGTCAACATCGACAAGTTCCCGGGGGGAATCTACCTCGGCGGCCAACTCAACTTTCCCGACCCGACTTTCCACGACCACTTTATCACGGTGCCGTACGGCCTGCTTGACAAGGTGCGTCGCATCGTGGTGGAGATGCCGTAACGAGCGATGTGCAGTTTCACCCAGCATCCAAGCCAGTGTACAAGTCGCTCAAGAAATGGCACCGACAAAATGCCAAACGGATGGCCCACGTGCGCGCGCATTTACCTGTCGTCCCGTCCAACGCCGACTACAACGATGAAACGTGGGAATGGACTGTGGTGCGCGCCGCCGCGACTGCATGATCGTGGATGGAGGGTGGATAAAGTCTTCGTCGTTGGATGCATAGGCCCGCGACTACCACATGAAGCAGCTTGGCGTGGCGACATTTTTGCTGGATGAGACAATCAAATCGGACAAGGCCAACATCACGTGGCTAGCGGAATGTACCCGGCCCCTCGAGCACTCCCTCCGTCACGAGCCCCGGCAATTTTGGTCGGAATCGCTCTTGAAGAATTTGGTACAGTCGTTCGCATGCTGGACATGCGCACGACATGGCCAAATGTAGGGGCTTGCGTACGCATACATTGTGCGGTCGCCAGACGACTTTGCCCCGACCGACCCGGATCCCTTCGAGCCACACGTTGGTCAAGGAGTAGCAGACAAGGCAAGGTAGTCGTTTTTGTCATCACAACGTGTAGTTGCTTCCATTCTTTCGGGTGCAATAGATACAAGGACCGAGCGAGTGAGCGCATGCTCGAAGTGTGGCGGGAGTGGGTCGGTCTGCCGTCGGCGCAGTCCGATCCTGGCTACAGCGCCATCGCCGACATCGTGCGCAAGTTCACCCCAGCGTCCTAATGGAGCCACGGCAGATCGGGGCCGTCACGACCGATGAGAGTGCCAAGTACCATCACGTACAAGACGTGCGTGCTACCTCATCATGGAAAACAATGGAGCGAATTCTTATTGATAAAGTTTGATCAATTCGTCCGAGACCGCCGAGGGGGTGAGCACACCGAGGTCGGTGAAGAGGAGCGAGATATACTGGGGAGGCGTGTAGTCGCACGTGGGGCTGCCCACGGTCAGCAATGGATGGCTTGGAAGGACGAGCTCGGGATCGCAGGTGCACGAAGGCAGGAGCATGCTCTCCTCTGTGCGGCTGTGGGGAAAGTCGCTCTGGTTCAACGGGTACAGGCGCGCAAATTTGTAGCTCTCTGCGGCGACGTAGAACGGCTTCTTCATGGCGTGCGCAATCATGGCGCACGAAAACGTCCCGATCTTGTTGACGATCCCGCCGTTTTCGACGACACCTTCAGCTCCCACAACCACCATGCTCACACGTTCCATGTAGTACCCCATGGCGGCGTCCACGATGACTGTTGTGGGGATCCCTGCATTTGAGAGAAGCTCGGCGGTCTTGTATCCAGCCCCGTTAGGCCGTCCTTCCGTCACGACCACAGAGAAGTGTTTGGATTTGGCAGCTTGGAGCAGGAGCTTTGTTACGACGCGGGAAGCCCCGTGGGTCAGCACAACCATCCCATCGCGCACAAAGTTGTGCCCAAAGTCTACGATCCGCTTTCGACTCGTCGACGACGTCTCTGCGAATAGCTTGCCGCGGTCGATGAGCTGGCTCTTGCACAGGTCGAAGTCGTCAAACTCGAGGAAGCAACGTGTGACGTAGCGGAGGAAGAGTTGACATCCCGCGGTCACAGAGATGGACGAGAGCGATTGCGCAGACGTCGAATGTGCGACGTAGTTTTTCTTATTGTCCGTCGTCGCCGACGCTGGCGTGTTGGCGGCAGCAGCCGCCTTGAGCTGTGCCGCGGCATCTTGCAAAGCACTCTCGATCTCCATCATCGTGCTCGCTTTCGAGTGCTGGATGACTCCAGTGAGGACCTTGATCACAGCCACCGCGATGGCGGACTCGGGGTCCTTCAAATACCCCATGAACTCGTCCACGACAGTCGGGCGCGCACCTGCCATCTCAACGCGACTCGAGACGCCACTAAAACGATCGACTCGTGCGTCGAATACGAAAGCGCATTAGTAATACTATATGCACCTGTCATTTAGTATTACTAACAAACTCGTGTCATTGAACCCCGAAAGTGCTTTCCCGCAGGCCAAATACGCACGTACCAACTCCATGGCGCTGTGCCTCACCACCGAGATACGCTTCCACATCAACGCTCCCCTGAAGGTGTCGAAATGGGACTGCATTGTGCCACATGTCTCCATCCCATCCTCCGACGAATATGTGGATTGGATCAAAAGTCGATGGCGCTATCGAAATAGCAACGTGAGATAACTTACAGATGCTAGCTGAAAGGGGATTTCTCTCGTCCAGCGTCGACAGGAGGACAGGGCGAAATCAAAAATAGATTCTCCTTCATATTCAATACATGTCAAAGCTCCTGCTCCAAGCTGCCAAATCCAAACACTTCTCTGTGGTCGTGACGGAAGGACGGCCTAACGAGACCGGATACAAGACCGCCGAGCTTCTCTCAAATGCAGGGATCCCCACAACAGTCATCGTGGACGCCGCTATGGGGTACTACATGGAACGTATCAAAATGGTGGTTGTGGGAGCTGAATGTGCCGTCGAAATCGACGGGATCGTCAACCAGATCGGGCCGTTCTCGTGCCCGATGATGCTGACGAGAGAATTTTAGACATGGCGAAATTGCCGGGAAAATAGGTGAAACAATTTGATTGGTAGATGTAAAGTGCTTGGAGGATTTCGTGGCGGCATCGAGTTGGTCGTGTCTTCGCAAGATGCATCGTGGGGTGTCTGTCATGACTCTTCATGGAAAATAGCATGCTGATGGGGCTGTCCATGCCGCGGATCGAGGATGCCCTGCATTCCGAGCGCAATTTTATAAGAGTGTCATCCGAACCAGCCACTCAAACGTGTCTTCAAAACACGGACCAATCCAATCGATTCTGGATGCCCTGGGCGAGGTCTCCAACTTCCTCCGTTCATTACAGTTAATCACTCCAAACTGACGAACGCAAGTGTGGATTTGGAGGTATAAGTAACATTTAAACTAATTTTCCCACGAAATGTCTTCAATGCTACAAATTTTGGCCAATCAAAAAAAGACGCTGTGCACGTAGCAAAAGAGTAAAATGAAGTCGACAAATCGAACACAACTTCCGGAAAATACGCGAATCTGTCCGTACAAGCCGTATCGAACAAAGCGCCCGAGAGTACATTCACCCGAACTTGAGCCTTGCTCCAATTTCGACCTGCTTTGTAAGCGCTCCACGAAGAGGTGGGGATGGGCCCACATCCAGAGTCCGCGATTCCTCACCCAGATTGCATTTCGATGAAGCCCCATCTCACAGCTCTCGCTCGACATCCTGCACCTCCTCTTGATACGAAAAGATCTGGCACGCTCCCTTGTGAATTTGTTGACGTTGCCAACCTTGCCTTGGGGAAGAAGGTACTTGAAAGGATCGTGTTATTGACATTCCCGAGTCTAAAAAAAGATTTTTTGTTTGGTTTTGTAAAACCGACATATGTCGTTTGAACTTCGAATAAATGTCTTATCGACTTGCAAATGGTGAGTACAAAATGCACCAAATGGCACAAGCCACTGTTAACTTAAAGTTGCCGCCATCTTGAAAACATGGACGAAGCGAGCTATATATATATATTACACGCGCCATGACGGCCACGTTCCCACTCATGCCAGGCCATCGTGCGGCCAGGAACACGTTGGCTGCATGCACAGGTAGCACCCGCTGCCGTGTTGGCTCGCCGTGGTTGTGTGAAAGTGGAAGCGGCAGCCACGTCGTCGTGGATCGAACGCCCTATTTTAAGCCCCCCCCAGCGCTCCGCCGCCTTCCCCATGTCGCATCTCGTGAATCCATCGTGACTGGTCAAATACCGCTCCAAGCGCTCCATTGTCGAGTATCGCAGGCTGATGTGGAACCGAAATAGCCCGAGAAAACCGCACGAACAAAAATACACGATTTCAAGTAGCAAAGGCAGCGACCACATTCGTATTGACGTGCTGGAAGGGACACGTCGATTCTCGTACGACCATGCACATTGCCCTGCTGGCAACAACGCTCAGCTTGGCCCTTGCAGTGGCTCAAGCAGACACATGCGATCAGTCCCAGGAAGACTCGAACCTGTCGGCGAAGACCAACACTGCGCTGACTGACGCCTGTGCCACCGACTGGAATGTCGAAAGCGGTAGTTTGTGGTACCCCGCAATCCAACAACTCGATCTGTCGACTGCAAACGAGTACACTTCCAACTTTTGTGCTTCGACAGCATGTGTCGATTTCACGACAGATTCCATGGCCCTTCTCGCAGACTGCACCGACTCAACCGGCCACAACCTCTTCACGGAAACACAGAGTGTCGTTGCTCAATGCAACATATACAACCAAAACACCCCCACACCAACTCCAGAAACCACTCTAGAAACTACGACTGCTTCACCAACCTCCGAAGCTCCTGCAACTGAAGCACCAGCCACTGAAGCTCCAGTCACCGAAGCACCAGCCACTGAAGCTCCTGCCACTGAGGCTCCAGCCACCGAGGCACCAGT